AGGAGCCAGCTTGATTGTTGCCCTCGGTTACTCAAACTTCGCTGCTCTTTCCAGTTTTCCAGACAGCTTGCTCCTGATGCCTTGAGATCCACTTCTTTTTTTCTTCACCCATTTGTTTTTCCAGGTGTCCTGATTCCAGGCCCTGGAGAGGCTCAGTTGTGCTGTCAGCCTTTACTCCACCACTTGAATCTTCTCAAAGTCAGCCTTAGCGACTTTGTTACATTTCGGTGGCCACGTGGTCTATGCTTCCCCACGTCCCATGCCCAGGAGAGGCCAGCCCAATGTTCAAGAGGCTTTGGAAGCTAATGGTTCCAGGCCAGCACCCTAACTTGATGCTTTGAATGTGTGGCCTTAGGCATTTGGGCAGGTGAAGTATGTTCTTTGAGCCCTGTTTCTTATCTGACAAATGGAGACAAAAAAAACAGACAGAAGATGGCAAACAAAAGATAAAACCATGCATCATCATCCATGGCTAGTCGAGCTAAATGATATGACTATAAAATGCCAAGCCCTGGGTTTGGCACCACATAAGCAGGCCCACGGTCTGTTCTGCTGCTTTCTGTTATTATTTGCTTATATGCTTTAAATTCAGAAATATGTGTCATCTCACCCAAGTTGCCGCTGCAGAGAGAAACTAATGTTTCATTCTCAGTGCGGAATTTTGAGAAGTAGGTTTGACGGCCGTCACCGGAATGGTGTCCTTTGCCCTTCACTACCAAAACGACCAACCAGATGCAGACCTGACAGTGCTTCTGCTGCCCGAGACCCTCACCAGCAAACCCAGGGCTGTTTCCCTCCTGTGCTGCTCCTCGAGGGGTCCCGGAGCGATCTCCGTGGCTGGCACCATTCCTCATCCATTATCACACGATGCCAGCATGTTCTTGTGGATGGCGGGTGGACTTTCAGTTTTTGTGCATGCAGGTCTTCTTTTACTCACTGACATGTTTAACTCCCAGTGACATACGAAATGTGATTTAGTAATAGGTGTCCTCTCGAGTGCATTAACCCAGTTGTCAGTGCATCGATGTCGGAGTGTGGTCTGGAGGTGGGCCTGGTCAGAAGAGACAGGGCACTGGGGCTGTGACCTGGGCGGCTCCTCCATTCTGTGCCAGCTTCCGGGCCACCAGACACGAGCAGCTCTCCTCTGTTCTCCACCACTCCGCCACACCGTTTCTGCACTGGAGCCAGGAACCACGGACTGAGACTCCTGCAACTGTGGTCCAAACAGTCTGTGCTCCTTTAAGTGTAGGGATTGTGTCAGTGATAG